AACTGAGGTTCAAAAGAAGAAATACTTGGTGCCTCTAGCAATGCTGAGGATGTTACTTTCAAGTATTATCACTCTTCTTTCTTTTTTTGTTCTTTTGTTTCTTTTTTATAACATTCATTAAAATCGAGAGCTTTGAGTTTCTAATTCTCTCCTTCCTTTCTAGTCCTCCCCCACCTATCAAGAGGTCAAGTATTATGATATCAATTTTATATGTGAAATCATGCAAAACAGTTTTTCATATTAACCATGTTACAAGCAAAAAAAGTAAGGAAAATAAAGAGTGAAAAAATATGTTTCAATCTGCACTCAGATTCCATCAGTTCTTTCTCTGGAGGTGGATAGCATTTTTCATCATATGACCTTTTTCCTTTTTCTTTTGATCTCTTCAGACACAGACCTAGTAGTGGTATGGTTGGGTCAGAGTAAGCACAGTTTTATAACCCTTTCACTATAGTTCTAAATTGCTCTCCATAATGGTTAGATAGATTCACAAGTTAATCAACAGCAAATTAGGGTCCTTATTTTTCCATGTTATTTCCCAACATTTGTCATTCACCTTTTCTGTCATATTTGTGGTTGTTGTTGCTGTTTAATCATTTTCATTTGTGTCTCTTTGTGACCCTATCTGGGATTTTCTTGGTAAAGATACTGGAGTGGTTTGCCATTTCTTTCTCCAGTCCATTTTACAGATGAAAAAACTGAGGCAAATAGGGTAAAAGTGACTTGCCCAGGGTCACACACCAAGTAAGTATCTGAGGCCAGATATGAACTCATTCACTGTGCCACATAGCTATACCTGTCATATTACCTAATCTAATAGGTGTAAGGTGGTACCTTAGAGTTGTCTTAATTTGCATTTCTCTAATCAATAGTTATTTATAGCATTTTTTTTTCATATGACTACAGATAGCTTTGATTAATCCTGAAAACTGCCTCTTTACATCCTTTGACCACTTATCAATTGGGGAATTACTCATAGTCTTATAAATTTAACTCAGTTCTTTATATATTTGAGAAATGAGGCTTTTATCAGAGAAATTTGCTATAATCTCCCTCCCAGTTTCCTGTCTTCCTTCTAATCTTGGTTGCATTGGTTTTGTTTGTGCCAAAACTTTTAAACTTAAGTGTCAAAATGACACATTTTGCTTCCTGTGATCCTGTCTATCTCTTGTTTGGTTATGAATTCTTCCCTTCTCCATAGGTCTGACAGGTAAAATTTTCCATGCCCCTCTTATTTGCTTATGATATCATTTTTTACATCTAAATAATGTGCCCATTTGACCTTATCTTAGCATATCATGTGAAATGTTGATCTACACCTAGTTTCTGCCAAACTGCTTTCCAGTTTTTCCAGCAATTTTTGTCAGATAGTGAGTCCTGGTCCTAACAGCTTGGATCTTTGGATCAAACACTAGATTACCATGGTCATTTACTACTATTTATTATATACCTATTCTATCTCTCTGATCCACCACTCTATTTCTTAGCCAGTACCAGAATGTTTGGATGATTACCGCTGTGTAAAACAGTTTGATATCTGATACTGCTAAGTCACCTTCCTTCACATTTTTTTCATTGATTCCTTTGATATTCTTGATCTTTTGTTCTTCCAGATAAATAATTATTCCAGATAAATAATTATTTTTTCTAACTCTATGAAAACTATTTTTGGTAGTTTGATTGATATGGCACTAAATAAATTTAGGTAGAATTGTCATTTTTGACTATATTGGCTTGGCCTACCCATAAGCAATTAGCACACCTCCAATCATTTAGATCTGTCTTTATTTGTGTGCAAAGTGTTTCGTAATCGTGTTTATACAATTCCTGGATTTGTCTTGGCTGGTAGACTCCCAGGTATTTTATATTGTCTGCAGTTATTTAAAAAAAAATTCTCTTTCCTTCCTGCTGAAGTTTTTTGATACTACATTGACATGCTGATAATTTATGTGGATTTTTTATCTTGTAACTTTCCTGAAGTTTAATGTTTCAATGGGTTTTTTATTTGATTCTCTAAGTGTACCATCATATTGTCTGCAAAGGATGATAGCTTTGTTTCCTCCTTGTCTATTCTAATTCCCGCAATTTCTTTTTTTGTCTTATTGCTATAGCTAGCATTTCTAGTACAATACTGAATAATAATGGTGATAATGGACATCCTTGCTTCACCCCTGATCTTACTGGGAAGGCTTTTAGCTTATTCCCATTACAGATAATGCTTGCTGATGGCTTTAGATAGATGCTACTTTATCACTTTAAGGAAAGCTCCATTTATTAGTAAGTTTTCTAGTGTTTTTAGTAGGACTTTAATGTTGTATTTTGTCAAAAGCTTTTTTCTGCATCTGGTGAGATAATTACATAATTTTTATTGTTTTTGTTATAAGTATGGTCAATTATGCTGATAATTTTCCTAATATTGAACCTGCCCTGCATTCCTGGTAAAAATTCCACCTGGTCATAGTGTATGATCCTTGTGATATATTGCTGTAATCTCCTTGCTAGTATCTTATTTAAAATTCTTGCATCAATATTCATTAAGGAAATTGGTCTATAGGATTTTTTTTTTTTTTGGTGAGGCAATTGGGTATAAGTGACTTGCCCAGAGTCATACAGCTAATGAGTATTATGTGTCTGAGGCTGGATTTGAACTCAGGTTCTCCTGACTCCGGGGCTGGTGTTCTATCCATTGCATCACCTAGCTGCCCCCTAGGATGTGTTTTTACCCTCTGATTTTGCTGGTCCTGGTTTAGGGATCAGCAGCATATGTTTGTCATAAAAGGGATTTGGTAGGACTCCTGTGCCTAGTTTTCCAAATAGTTTACACAGTATTGGAATTAATTCTTTTTTAAATGCTTGGTAGAATTCACTTGTGAATCTACCTAGTCCTGGGGAATTTTTCTTAGAGATCTATTTATGGCTTGTTCAATTTCATTTTCTAAGATGGAGTTATTTAAGTATTCTATTTCCTCTTCTGATAATCTGGGCAATTTAGATTTTTGTAAACATCTATGCATTTCACCAGATTGCCAGATTTATTGGCATATAATTGGGTGAAATAGATCCTAATAATTGCTTTAGTTTCATCTTCATTGGTGCTGCATTCATCCTTTTCAAATTAATCAAATTAACCAATGGTTTATCTATTTTTATTGTTTTCTTCTTTAAAAAATAAAACTAGCTCCTACTTTTATTCATTGATTCATTTTTTTAACTTTTAGTTTTATTAATCCCTCCTTTGATTTTCAGAATTTCCAAAATGTTGCTTAATTGGGGATTTTTAATTTGGTCTTTTTCTATTTTTTTAAAAGTACATGCCCAGTTCATTGATCTGTTCTTTCTCTATTTTATTGATGTAAATGTTCAGAGATATAAATTTTCCCCTAAGTACTGCTTTGTCTGCATCCCACAGATTTTGGAATGTTGTCTTATTGTTTTTATGATTTGTTCTTGGCCCACTCATTCTTTAGAATTAGATTATTTAGTTTATAATTAATTTTTAATCTCTATTTCCATGATCCTTTATTGAATATGATTTTTATTGCATTATGATCTGAAATGGATGCATTTAATATTTCTGCTTTTCTACATTAGTTTATTTAGTTTTTATTGCCCTAATACTTAGGCATTTTTTTGTGTGAAGGTGTCATTTATAGCTGAGAAAAAGGTATGCTTCTTTCTTCTTCCATTCAATTTTCTCTAGAGGTCTATCATATCAAACTTTTCTAAAATTCTATTCATCTCTTTAACTTCTTTCTTATTTATTTTATATACAATATTTATCTAATTCTAAGAGACGGAAATTGAGGTTCCCCACTAGCAGTTTGACTGTCTATTTCCTCCTGCAACTCATTTAACTTTTCCTTCAAGAATTTGGATACTATGTCATTTGTGCACATATGTTTAGTATTTATATTACTCATTGTCTCTAGTACCTTTTAGTCAAATGTAGTTTCCTTGCTTATCTCTTTTAATTAGGTCTGTTTTTGCTTTTTCTTTGACTGCGATCATGATTGCTGCCTTTGCTTTTTTTTTTTTTTAACCTCAGCTGAAGCCTAACAGGTTCTGTTCCAGCTCCTTATTTTAACTCTCTATGTATCTTTGCTTCAAGTATGTTTTTTATAAACAACATATTGTTGGATTCCGGTTTCTAATCCATTCTGCTCTCTGCTTCTGTTGATGGATGAGTTGTTCACATTCACAGTTGATTAATAATTGTGTATTTCCCTCCATCCTATTTTCCCTATTTATCCTTCTCTCTCTCTTTACCATCCCTCCTTAAAAGTCTGTTTTGCTTCTGACCACTGACTCCCTTAATCTGGCCTCCCTTCTATCAGCGCACTGTGCCCCCACATCTCTTGTTCCCTCCCTGAGTATGTGTGTTATTCTCTCTTTGAACCAATTACAATGACAGTAAGGTTCAATGTCTTGCAATTTTTGTTAATAATGGTGTTTACAAAAAGAGACCGACATGTTCTTGTGGATAGAAAGCTGGCCACAGGTTCAGGAAGACCTGGGTTCAAGTTTTGCCCTTGACAATACAGGCTATGTGACTCTGGACAAGTCTTAACCTCTCCCCAGCCCCAAGGCACTATGTAAGACTATAAGTAGCAGAACTGGGGCCCTTCTGTATTGGGAGACAGAGTTTCCTCATTGTGGGATTTGCATACCAATGAAATCACAGATTTGGTTTAGAAAACTAAAGGATAAATTTAATTTATTTGTATTTCTAAATAGGTATATGTTCACATGCACTTATAGTGTTTTTAATTTGTTTTTAACATTTGTTTGCTAAATAATATGGATAGAATAAATCTCTATTGAGAAACCTCAGTATTGAGAAAATTATCTTCTAATATTTTTATATAAGAATTTAACCTAATTTAAATAACATTCATTACTATAACCAACAGACATTTATTATGAATCAACTATTTATAACACACTGGCTTGGTGCTACAAAGAGAAGAAAAAACCAGACCTGCTCTCAGGGAGTTTCCATTTAGTGGCAGAGAGGAGGAGGAGGTATATACACATTATATCCACAGATCAATGGAATGTAATTTGATGAAAAAAAAATTCGAACGTAGAGGCATCAACACAGACTTCCAAAAGAAGGGGGCATTTGATCCAAGACCCGAAGAAAGCTAAGGATTCCAAGAATGAAGACCAGTTAGATTCCAAGGCAATTATTTCTTGAAACTCTAGATGAGAAAATGTGGAGCAGATATAAAAGAATAGATGAAGTAGGTAAGTAGAAATAATTGTTTTGAAAGGGTTGTCAAAGCTAAACCAGAGGGAATGGTTAAATAAGTTACAAAGCTGGTATGTAATGATGCCATTTATGTCAAAGCTTTTGCTCAGCAGCCACAACCTCTCTCACGGTTATTCCTAGAGTCTATAGTCACGGTCACCCCTCTGGGGACCCAACTTGTGAGAGTGAGTACAAGTTAGAGGGAGTATCTTAGAAGGGTATTCAATTGAAAAGGCTTTGGGTTAGCATATTTGGGAGCCACACTCCTTTATGATCTGGTTCTACTCCTGATTTTCTAGATTTTTATACCTCTGTCTCTGCTGCCCCCTTAGAGTGGAGATGCCAATGCCCTTGTGGGCCCCTCCTCTAAAAGTTAAGTTCCTACCTAGAATTCCTTTTAAGAAAGTACCTCTGTCAGTCATGCTCACACCTAGGCCAGTTCCCACATTGATTGTAGAGACTTTCTCACTTTGCCCCTGAGAGGGTACCTCCCGTGCATCCCATTCCATTCCCAGCTTTTTAGCTCCCTTTTATATGTTTCTTTACCTGTTAGAATGCAAACTCCTTGAGGGCAAGGACTGTCTCTCATTTTGTCTGTTAGTGCTTTACACAATGCAGAGTGGCTGGCCCATATTAAATGCTTCATCTAATCCAAAATCCTTCATATTTGTGGGGACTCATGGGAAAGATTTTTCATTTTGGATTCTCATTCTTGACTGCTCTGTTTTTTGGAGGAATTCATTACAGAAAAAGATGTGTTTTTTTCTTTTGATTTAGAGTACAGTTTTTATGATGTTTCCTTTACAAATCAGACTCATTTCTCTGAGAAAACTATTCAAATAATTTATCATTTATTATTTAAATTATTTAAATAATTACATGCTTATATCTGTCATATTACTGTACCCATTAAGACTACTGTGTTTACTCAAAAAGCCTAACTAAAGGAGACTCAAGATTTGACCAATCTGCTGAACACCTAGAAAGCGGTCTTACAGAAATCATGCTTAGCCTAATGTCTCAAACCGTATTCCAATATAATCTCAAAATGGATACATGACCTAGGTCACATCACAAATAAATTGGAAGAAAAAAGAAGAAAATATATCTATCAGATCAATGGATAGGGGAAAAGCTCATGACCAAAGAATAGAGAGAATCACAGAACATAAAATGGACAATTTTGATTAATTAAGAATATAATTGTTTTGCATAAATAAAACCTGTGTAGCTAAGATGAGAAGGCAAACCAATGGTGCATTAAGTCTCTCTGACAAAGTTCACATTTCTAACACATGTGAGGAACTAATTTCAATTTATAAGAATAAGAGCTATTTGCCAGAGGATATGAACTGGCAGTTTTCAAGAAAATAAATTTTATCTATAGCCATCTGGGAAAAAATGTTCCAAATCACCAATAATTAGAGAAATGAGGTTCCAACTTACATCTATCAGATTGGCAAAGTTGACAAAAAAGGAAAATAACAAATGTTGGGGGGGGGGGTAAAGGAAAAGAAACACATTGATGCACTGCTGGCAGAGCTGAGAATTAGCTCAGCCATTCTGGAAAACAATTTAGAACTATCCACCACCAAATCATGAGTTGTGTATATCCTTTTAACCCATTGATAATACTACCAGACCTATACCCCAAAGAGATCAAAGAAATAGGAAAAGGTCCTATACACACAAAAAATATTTACAGCATCTCTCTCAGTAGTGGCTAAGAATTGTCATCTTAAGGGGGTATCCATCAATTGGGGAATTTCTGAAGAAATTATGGTATATAAATGTAATGTAATGCTATTGTGCTGTAAGAAATGAATAAGTGATCACGCAGATAAATGTGGGTAAGATGCATGTGAACCGATATAGAAAGAAGTGATTTATATTATGACATCAATATTGTGAAAACAAGTGTGAAAGGCTTAAGAATTAAGGTCAATGCAATGATCAGCAATGATTCCAGAGGACTGACAATGAAGAATGTTACCCAATTCTTGACCGAATTGTGCTGGACTAATACGCAGAATGAGACACATGTGTTTGGACGTAGCCAATATGGGAATTTGTTTTGTTTGACTTTGCTTATTTGTTACTAGGGTTTTGTTTACCATTTTGCCCCCTCCACCCCACCCCGTGAAGTAGGGGAAGATGGGGTAGAAAAAAGATAAATGCTTGAGATAAATGCTTGATAATTGAAAAAAATTAATTAAAAAAGTACTGCATCTAATTGGAGGACTATGGTTTCTTCATCTGTGAAATACTGATGCCTCACACTCTGCCTAGAGCCCACTATGAAGCTCCCAAATGTTTGTGTTCTTTTCAAGCTTGCTTTACTTACCAGTTCAGTCAGCTTTTTCTGAGACCCTTATGTACTGCGGATCAATAATAACTTTGTCTCCTGACTTAGAAACTCCAACTAATCAACCTGAAGTGTTTAATCCATTTTGGGAACCTCAATCCTCCTAGGGGCTTTTTTGGAATTTTTTTTCTTTTAGTTGTTCTAGTGAAAGATGAGTTTTGGCCTACAGTTGGGTTTCCTATATGTTTCACAAATCCTTGGAGAAACTCTTAATTCACTTAAGTGCAAGGACGCCGAAGAAAATTGTGTTTAGTGGTATCATCACCATCATTGTGAAAGGATGCACTGAAAGTATTTTGGTGTGCCCTGTGTGTAACGGGAAATCTGGGGATTATTTCTCCATTCATCCAACCTGCTGTTGGATTCCCTACACATCAGAACTTTGAGGGCTCTATGCTGTTGCAGCTTCCCAGAGAAATTTTCTAGGATGAAAGTCAGTTGGCATATGTGGGTCCAGATCAGAGAGGCCCCTTAATGAAAAGATAGAGCCCTACTTTCTTGTAGCACTGGTACCTGATAGGGCCCAAAGTAAAGGGGTTTCTCAGTGTGAGAAGGAGGTGAATGTTCCATCCTATCCATTCCAGCGCGACAACGCTGTTACAAAAAACACCAATCCAGGAGTTTGAGTTCTCACCTGAAGGGTGGCGGGTAGCTCCCTACTGATCCAGGTTTAACAGAGCTCCATGTACTCTGGGACCTCTTTTGACTTAAAAAAAAATCCTTCTTTTCTTTGGGTTGGGGAAGGCACGTCATTGACCTGAGAAGACTCCATGAAATGATGTCCGTTGGATCGGAAGACCGTATATTTGGAAATCTGGAAGAATGCTGACTTCAAGGTTTCTTTGTGAACTGATCAGTGCGCACTCTCTTTAGTACAGAGCAGCAGGGAAGAAATTCCAGTTTGAAAGAACAACGCTTGAAACGTCTTCAGAAAACCGTGTTAGACCAGGGATGTGATCTCAAAATGTAGTCCAGCGGATATGTGGAGGAAAACAAATGCTTAATGGCGGATGAGTGAGGAAGAGTAAAATGTAGGTAAAGCGACCCAGAAGGGCCATTCTTTGTGGCATGCACAGATATTCCTTGCCTGGTTTCGGTCCACCACGTAGAAGCTTATTTCTGGTAATGTACTGGTGTTTGCACTGGGAGATGACAAAGCCTCCTTACTGACTTTTGAACCAGAAGGGGGGGAAAGACAGACTATGTGAAAGCAAGCTCTAAGAGCCTGGAATAACTATTCGAATCTAATAGCTTTTGGAATCATATCCTTTTTAGTGATGAGTAAGACATGAATGCTTTGGGCTGCCTGTAGAGATACAGATGGCAGAGTAGAAATTAGATCCTTTTCCCCACCTAGCCTGCACAGCTACATTTTGTTGTTATTTTTCCAGGTGTATCAAGTAATCCTTTGACAGTTTGATTGGTTTGGCACTGAATAAATTAATTTAGTTTTTTTATATTAGCAAAACCTACCCATGAACAACATATTAATTAATAAATATTTCTTTAATTACACATATATAACTTTAAGAAAAAGTATTTTGTACTTGCATTCATATCATTATTGTCTATGTCTTGACTCCCAAATATTTGTGTAAGTCCTGTAGTTATTTTGAATGGAATTTGTCTTTCTTGTTGAGTTTCATTGGTTATGTATAGCAGTGGTGATGATTTATGTAAAATTAATTTATATCCTGTAAATTCATTGAATTTAACATCTTAATAGGTTTTTAGTTAAACCTTTGGACCATGTAATTTCCAAAAAGTGATAATTTTGCTTCCTCTTTATTCTTTTTTTATTGTCCTATCATTTCTAGCATCATGTTAAATGGTAGTAATGATAAAGGTCATCTTTCCTTTATGCCTGATCTTTCAAGGAAGACTTTTAACTTTTTGCCATTATATATACTGTCTTCTCTTAGTTTCAGAGAGATACTGCTTACTCATATTAAAGAAAAGTCCGTTAATGCTATCCTTTCTATGGTTTTTTAAAAATAGAAATGAGTTAGATTTTTAAAAAAGCATTTTCTGCATTTATTGATAAAATCATGTGATTTTTTTTGTTTTTGATCTTATTTATTTTTGTTATTATGTTTATGGTTTTCCTTATATTAAACAAACTCTATGTGCCTTCTTCCTTTTGTTGGACTGGTGGCAAACTAAGTTTGAAAATATGGTAATATCTGCCATGTAGGCTGGTTGTGGGAAGTAGGTCCAATTTCTACTCAACCATCTGAATCTCAAAAGGCAGCTCAAAGCATTCCTTCCTCACACAATGGAAAGGACAGATGATACCAAGAGCTAATAACTTGCTTTCATATATTCAGAGCCACTCCTCCTTCTGGCTTAGTAGCCAGGGAGGAGGCTTCATCATCACACAGTGCAAACCCCAAAACATTACTGGAAGCAGCAAAGAAATACAGTAGCATAGTTTTCGATGAAACAAAAGACCCCAGGTATGAAAGTAAGGAGTCATAATTTAATAAAAATTGTTGGGAAAACTGGTAGACTGTGTTGCAGAAATTAGG